ACAAAATTCACTGAAAACTGCTAAACATTTTGGACTGCTGTTTATGTAACTAACTATCATTTTAGTAAATTGATCACAAACTTCGAGTATTTTATCACTTGCAGCATGCGCTGCTAATGCAGCGGAATGGCAAGGACATGGAAATGTTAATAAACGTGGACATTCTTTTTCCAATTTTTTTTGGAATGATACATGTTTCCCTATCATGACAGACGCATTGTCGCATGACAGAGCAATGATATTCGGAAATGGTACCTGCAATTTGTACATTTCATTTTTAAATGCATTAAACAATTTTTTTGCGCTGGAATCTTTAGCATCGATATTAATTAATTCAACTAATTGCGTGCGAATATCTAATGTCCCAGGATCAGGGTATCGAACTTGAAAAGTCATCCACTTTTCGTTACAAATATCAGATGTTTCGTCTATAAATATTGAAAATTTTGTATTTTGAATGTTGTCTACGACACGTTTCGTTTCAACTTTGGATAAAACGTTCGTAATAATACTTTTACATTTTGTACGACCCATTTTCATACTTCGTAATACATGAGGATCTTTTCCTACGTGTTGAAAAAAACTGAGAATCTTGTTTGCACTTTGATGAGGAATATTCATTTCAGCAATTAATGCGGCATATCTAATCTCTGCTTCTTTTATGCGCTCATCAAATGGTAAAAGTGATTCATTACTTTCCGTATTCCAATCTTCATTCGATTGTCTTATTTCAGTTCTGAAGAACCACTCGACCTCGGCGGACGCGCTTTGGACCGGGTGCATTCAATTTAAAATTTTTTGAGAGTGTGGCCGACTCTAACTGTGCATTTGATTCCTCCGCGGATGGTTACTTTTACATTTTGTACGACCCATTTTCATACTTCGTAATACATGAGGATCTTTTCCTACGTGTTGAAAAAAACTGAGAATCTTGTTTGCACTTTGATGAGGAATATTCATTTCAGCAATTAATGCGGCATATCTAATCTCTGCTTCTTTTATGCGCTCATCAAATGGTAAAAGTGATTCATTACTTTCCGTATTCCAATCTTCATTCGATTGTCTTATTTCATTACTTTCACATTTATTCATATGTGTTTTTGTTTCGGCGTGACGATAGATTTGCGGTAATCCACAAACAAAAGACTTATCGCAAATTTTACAATAACATAAACTATCATCATCTGGCACTTCGCGTAACCAATGTTTAAATTCCTCAATATATAACCATTTTAATTGAAATGTTGCTTTAGATTTTTTTACTGCATTATCTTCATTATTCTCACATGATTTTTTAATATTATTTTTATGATACGTAGAGTCCGCATGTTTCGAAACATTTCTCGATTGACACGAAAATGTTTTATTGCATACACTGCAATAATAAAGACTATTATTGGATGGCACTCTACGTATCCAAAATTTGTATCGATCATCAGTAAGCCAAGCTTCTACAAAGTTTCGCTTACATTTTATGGATCGTTATTCATTACGATATTAATGAAAAAGAAATAAATAATTATAAATTAAGGAGTGTGGTGA